GCTCCGATCACCATGGGAGGCAGGGATTGCAGGGGAGGCAGGGATGGAGAGGAAAGCAAGGATGGAGGGGGAGGCAGTGGTGTGTCAAGTGCCGGCGGGTCAGGGAGGTTAACCTGAACAATTCCCCTCATTGACTGCCTGCCTGTTCAGCCATGAACGAGTAACAAGGGGCCAAGCGTGGGGGACGCACGCTCACCAGGAGCCAGGACACCCCCCACCTGCACCACTTCCCTCAGACAGATGTAGGACAGTAGGACGGCAGGACAGGTCTGCAGACAGTGCCCGTGGTGACACCATGCAGCATATTTCCTCCGGACATATGGCTCCAACCTTTGGGGAGCCATGCTAGCACCCTATGCCTCTGTTTCCCCTCCTGCAAAACGGGTTGAGGAGGAGGCTGGGGGCCCTATGAGTCCCCACCTTCACCCCAGGGTCGGGCTGTGGGTAGGGGGCTGCCCTCCCAAGGCCAGCGCTGCCAGCAAACAGTCCCTCGCCTTGCATGAAGCCAGGTTAATGTTTGCAGCAAGCAGCTCTCCTGGGAGCGGCGGCGCCCGCCGCCGAAGGGGGGTTTTAATGACCTGCTGGATCTGCCGCATTATCAGCGCTGATTAAACCTGCTGCTCTATAAAGCGCCGTTAAATATTAAGCGTGATGAAAGGCTTTGCGGGGGGAGCCACAGCACTGGGAGAGGGCTCTGGAGGGGGTCTCCAGCCACACTGATGGGGTGACCACTGAGGCCGGGGGTGTTGGGGCAAACGAGCACCCCGGCACCCATCTGGGCTGTGGGTTTGGGGGAGCAAGCCTCCCCCAGAGCCAGCAGCACCTTTGAATGCAGCCAGCGTCCAGGCAAAGCCGTCCCATAACCATTAACTTATTAATGACTGGTGGTGGAGACGAGCAGTGGCTTGCAAGGTCAGGGGGTGGTTTGTGCCCAGCGGGGAGTGAACTGCCCCCCAGCTCTGACAGTGGGTATGAGGAGGTGACCCACAAGCCCTCAGCTCCTTTGTGTGTGCCTCATGGCTGGGGGGGGCTCTGACCATGGACACTGTTGGGGTCCCTGAACCCCGGGATCCACAGGGCTGTGCATCAACTGGGAATAGCCAGTTCCTGTGGTTGCAGGGTAAGTGAGGCACTGATGGCTTTCCTGTCCCCCCTATGCCATCAGGACACAGGCAGGGACACCCCAGTGTCTGGGTGCCTGGCCATGGACCATCTCCCTGGGGAAGAAGCCCGGGACCCCCAGCTCAGAGGTGACAGTGAGGCTCCAGAGGGGTGCAGGGACCCCAAAATAGCCTGTCAGTGGATGGCCACCCACAGTGTGCAGCTGCACCCTGGGGGGCTGGGAGGTGCGCGGGAACGAGCATCACCCGAGCTCCCTGCGTGAACAGAGGACAGATGGAAAAATTAGCGGTGCGGCTAATCAATGTGGTGCATATTAAGTGGCTCAGGGGTGTGGGGGGGGAGACGCGAGGCGGGGGGGAGCCGAGCAGGGTCCGGGATCAATATGGCTTGTATTAAGTGGATTAAATCCTGGTTGCCGATCTGAGCCCTTATTGCCAGCAGGAGGTGGCAGCTGAACGGGGACTGTGGGGGTCCTGCTGCGATCATTTCCCTTGGCAGCAGGGCCCTGGGGGGGCTGTTGGGAGGCTCACTGGGGCAGGGCAGCCTGGAGATGCCTGGGGGGTGGCTTAGCACCTCACCGCATCCTTCCTCTATCTAGGGGATCAGCTGGGCTAAAGGGGGCCAGGGACCCCAGCTCCAGCCCTGCAAGCCCCCCAGGCTCCGGGAGAGGCATCTCCTGGGCGAATGAGAGGTGCTGACAATGTTATTGAATCGAGGTGAGGAGGCACAAGGTCTGTTCACGTCCCTTTAATAAACCATGTTCGACCCACTGACCTTTAACCTGCCCGGCAAGCCCAGTTATCCCCATCCCTTAAGGACTAAAGACGTCGCCATGGCAATGGGATGATGGGAGGGAGCAAGGTCCCGGAGCTGGACCCAGGGTGGGGTGGGGATGAAGATACTCTGCTCTGGCCCTGCACCAGCACCTGAGCGGTGGTGCCAGGTAGAGGTGAGGTGGTGCTGGGGGTGCTGCAGCTTTTGGGGGGGGCAAGCACCACGGACGGGGTCCCCGAGGCCGGCAGAGCGGAGCTGTGCTGCACACCAGCAGATATCGATCCCCGGGCTTGACAGTTTAATACTTCTGTTTATAGAGGAATATAGTTACATCGATGGCGTTAAATGAGTTACTAATTATATCAATACAAACACGATTAAAAGGGTCCTTGCTCATAGGTCACCGCAAGCAGGAGCTGCTGGTGTTGCACAACTGCCCCTGGGCAAGGCCTGCCCAACCGCTCCAAGGCGCATGATGGGGCGATGCTCTGGGGTGGTGTGTGCCCCTGTGGGGGGGCTGTGCATCCTGGGGGTGTGTGTACCTGTCTGAGGTTGTGCATGCCCATACGGGGCTGTGCATGCCCGACTGGGTTTGTGTGTCCCAGTCTGGGATTATATGTGCCCATCTGGGGTTGTGCATGCACGTACAGGGTTGTGTGTGCACACATGCAGTTGTGCATGTCCATCTGGGGTTGTGCATGCACATCTGGAGTGCATGCCCATGCAGGGCTGTGCATGCAAGTACGGGGTTGTGCATGCTCCTGCAGAGTCGTGTGCACCCATGAAAGGCTGTGCATGCTGACCTGGGGTTGTGTCTGCCCGCCTGGGGTTGTGCGTGCTGGTAGCAGGGTGTGCACATCCGAACACAGCTGTATGTGCCTGTGTAGGGATTTGTGCCTGTACGGGTTGTGTGTGCTTGTATAGTGTTGTGCACATTCATGTGACCTTCTGTGTGCCCATGCAGGGTTGTGTACACTGACGCAGGGTTGTGCATGCTTGTGCAGGGTTGTACGTGCCCATGCAAGCTTTTGTGCCCCCCTGGGGGGATGTGTGTGCAAGTACAGCGTTGTGTACAAGTTTGTATGGTGTTGTGCATGCCCATGAGGGTTTGTGCACACTTGTGGTGTTATGTGAGCCCATACAGGGTTGTGCACGCTCATGTAGGGTTGTGTATGCTAGCATGGGCTTGTGCACACCCATGTGGGGTTGTGTCTGCCATATAGGGTTGTGTACACCCACATGAGTTGTGTGTCCCCCTACAGCGATTGTGTGTGACCTGGAGGGGTTGTGATCTGCTGCTTACATGGTTAGTCCCCAAGTGAGGCAGGAGGGGACCACGGTGCCCGCCCTGCAGGAAGAGGAGGAGGAGGGTGAGTGGCAGAGCCAGGCACCCTGGGTAGGATGGAGCTGGCTCCTTTCTTAGGACTGGGTGTGTCTGGGGGTCCCTCCATGCCTGGACACTGTAGCAGACCACCACCTGTGCCACCCTGTGAACCTGTGGCACCTGGATCCCATTGCCAGCCTTGGCTGGGACCCAGCCCACCCCCTACCAGCAAGAACCCCCCAGACACTGCCTCCTCTACAGCCTGAGCATCCTTCAACCTTCCAGGACGCCTGGTGCATCCCCTGTTATTCGGCTCCACTCTCATCTCCACTTAAAAGCTGACCTTTGCTCCCCATTTGATGTAATGTGGTTTTGCATCTCAGTGCCCCATAGATAAAAGGTAAGAGGTTAATAAATGGTGGAAAAAGAGATCCCAGCGCTTAGAGGTCACACTGGTTTTGGGGGCTGGAGGCGGTGGTGGCACACGCCGGGTGTAGGAGCAGAAATGTGAGCAGCACCCGGGGGCCTGGCAGAGGTGTAGGTGCTGCTGAGCTCAGGCTGCAGGAGCCCTCCCATGGGGTTGACCCCCTGGGAAGGTGGTGGCTTTGCCCTGCTGTGGGATGAGCAGTAGTTGCTGATTTTGGGGAGTTTACTCCTGCTTTGACAAGCTAGGAGATTGCAAGGTGTGGAAATGGGTTTGGTATGGAGCGGTGGGGTTTGAAGCCCACTGCAGGCAGGAACAGGCAGGGAAACGCAGGCAAAGCCAGGCTCACACAGGCTTTCCGGGGCAGAAATCAAAGTAACCCCCCAGGAACTCTACTCCAAGCCTGACCTAGTTACTGAAATTGATGGCTCGAGGAGCTCCTGGGAAAGGGCAAGCAATGGGGAGGGGGCAAAGAGCAGGGCAGGGAGCACCACAGTGGATGGGAGGGACAGGGTGCTGGCACTAAGGGTTGGGGCACCCCAAGAGCACCCTGCTGCAAGGAGGGGACAGATGGGTGGCACCCAGAGGGCGAGGAAGGGGCAGGGATGGAGCACTGTGGAATGGCTTGGAACTGCGCAGTCAGCTCCCATGGGTGTGGTGGGAGACAGGCAGTAGCACCCATAGACTAGGTTAGGGACAGGCAGTTAGCACCCCTCTGTTAGACGAGAGACAGGCAGCAGGTGCCCGTGGTTTAGATGACGGACTGTGTTAGATGTGCCTGTCCAGTGATCGGAACTGTCTGTAGGAGCATCCCTGTATCCCTACAACTCCATGTCCCCCCAAGTCCTCGCATCCCTACATCTCCATGTCCTTGCATCCGCATATCTCTGCATTCATGTGTCCCCATCACATCCCTGCATCCCCCCATCCCCACATCCCCTGCAGCCCAGCTCCCTTTATCTGCCCAGTGAATGATGTGCTATGTGGAGGGGGGTGTGCTCCCTTTCTATTGGTTTTTAACGGCCTTTCCCAGCACAATTGTTTTTTAAACGACTCTATTTTGTGCCTGACTTTGTTTTCCAGCTTGAATTTCTTTGTATATGTTTTGGAAATCCATTCTGGACTGCTGAGTTTTGTTTCTTTTCAATGGCTTTAAATTCTTACCAGGCTTGCTGGGAGGAATTGGTGTCTATAGCGCCTTCGATTGGTGCTAATTTTTCCTTCATGTGCTCTGACTTTTACTGCTGGGCCATCGATCTGGCGGGCTCCAATTTGTCATGGTCACCCAGGCGCTGTGCTGGAATCAGGCGAGCCCTGGCTTTCGCATGGAGCCAGCGCTTCATGTCCCTGGTGTAGGGACCGTGCTGGCCTCCCTGGTGTTGTCCGTCAGCTCAGCCTGGGGGATTATGCCCGTGTGTCCAGAGCTGTGTACAGCTCAGGCCATACTTATCAGGCCATCGATAGCCCTGTCACCCTGGTTGAGTGGGACAGCCCCAGTGCTCACAGCTCCCTCGCCAGCACCCAGCACCATGGCCCTCCACTTTGCCCTACCTCTGGAAGGGACCAGCATCTCCCCTGTGTGTGTGGATGCGTGTCCCTGCAGATGAGGATGCTGATCCCATGCTGGGACCTGGTGAACGCCCGCACTGGGCAATGCCAGGAGGCTGCTGAGCCGGAGGAGAGCTGAACATCCCAGTCCCAGGGACCTGTCCGAGGGCCTGGGATTTGCTGCTGCTCTGTCTACATTGGCATCATCTTCTCGGGCTGAAACACTGTCATCCCTCTGGCTAGTGAGGAGAGGGGCAGGGAAACTGAGGCACAGATACAGCATCTCTGCAGCAAAGCTGCAAAACAGCCAGTGGTGTGTGGCGAGCCAGCGCCAGCCCCCAGGCATGGGGAGAGCGCAGCGCTGCTGGCATGATGGTGTGCTGGGGAGTGCTGTCTGTGGGGCAGGGAGAGCCTCTCGTTGCTGGCAGAACAGGCAAGTGGGGCCGGGGATGATGCTGGGTCCTGCCCCAGGCAGGGTCCTGACCCTGGCACTGCCCTCCTCTGCCTCACATGCCCCTGTATGCTGGCAGCGCTGACCCCTCTCTCTCCCACACCCAGCTCTACGAACTGGACGAGGACCCAAAACGGAAGGAGTTCCTGGATGACCTCTTTGGCTTCATGCAGAAGAGAGGTAAAGGTGGGTGGCTGGGGTGGGCACCACTGGCACCCCTCTCCCAGCTGCCTGGAGGGGCTCATAGCGTGCTCCACTTGGGCACGGATCTGCTGCGGGTCTCTACAAGCCCCCCCAACAGGTCCTGCAGGGCATCCCCCCACCATCTCCTACACACACACACTCATGCATAAGCTCACACCTGGCAGATTTGCCCCCTTGTCCCCAGGTGGAGCTCCCCACAGGGTGCCTGCTGGCAGAGGGGCTCCCCCGGGCCCCGGAGATGAGGCTGGTAGCAATGCCCATTAGCGATGCCCAGCAGGGACGCCCACCAGCAATGCCTGGTAGGGATGCCTGTTAGCCTGTTCCTTGGTGACAGCCGTTAGCAACACCTGTTAATGATGCCCATTAGCAGTGCCTATTTGCAGGGCCTTTTAGTGATGCCTGGTGGGGATGCCCTTAGCTGTGCCCATTAGCAGTGCTGGTTATCGCTCCCCATTAGTGCCCAGTGACGATGCCGATGCCCGTTACTGGCACCTCTTAGCGATGCCGATGATGCCACGATGATGCCGCAGGAGTGGGGTCAGCAATCCGGGCAGTGCTGGGTGCCCAGGGGTTAAGGGCTTGCCAGCCAGCCCGGCTGCATCGGAAATCTTTGCTATCGGCATGGGGGGCCAAGCCTGCTCCCGGGGACTCAATAAATGCTTTAACCTTCGCCCTCCCCGTCCGGGTCTGCGACAATTAAAAGTTGCCGAGTGCAGGCTTGTGGCCGGCTGTATTAATTAGAGCCTTTTGCCGGTGTGTGGATTAATGAACATGCCGCTCAATAGCCAGTAAACCCCAGGCAGAGGTTAATGCCGAGCTAATTAACGGGGGAAGGCTGAGGGGTTGTGTGGGAGCAGTGGGGCTGGCTGTGTGCAGGGAGGTGGGCACAAAGGGGCAGTCACCCCCCAAGTCGTGCCCATGCGAAGGGTGGTGAGGGTGCCTACGACACAGGGATCGACTTTTGGGTTGGGCGGAGACCCTACAAACTCATTTCACTCAGGGCTGTGCTGCAGGGAGCTAGCATGGCTGTAGGAGCCCAGCTGGAGGTGGTGGTGTGGGGGGGGCTTGGTACTGCCCCGTGGGTACCCCTGGGCCCCCTGGCCCTGGTGCAGGGCTGTGGGGAGCGAGTGGGAGCATCAGAGCTGCCTCAGCCCCCCAGCATCCATCAGCCGCAAGATTCATGGGCTGTTCCACGGCTTCATTATCTCTCTCTCCAGAGCTAATTAACTCCCTCGCCATTGGGGCCAGGGCTAATTAAGCAAGCGTGTGGTGATGCGGGGAGGAGGGAGGGAGTCCAGTGCTTCTCTGTCAAGGCAGCTCCTCATGCCTCTGTGTCCAGCCATCCTGCTCCTGTACCCTCTGTCCCGTGCCTCCGCAAGCGGGTGGCGTCCCCCTGGGGAGGGTAGGCAGGTGTGCAGGTGTGCGGATGCATGTGCGCATGTGCCTGTTGGAAGGCTAGGGGATTTTGGAGGCAGGTAGCAAAGAGAAAGGGAACAGGGGGGCTGCAGGGCAGGGACAGCATCCCGGGGGTCATTGGGAGCTGGCTGAGAAGCAGCACCCATGAGCCAGTGTAGGTGCTGCTGGGGCACCCAGGGGTGCGTGGGTAGGGGACTGCAACCCCCAGGCTGTTTCCCTGAGGTGATAGTGGGCCTGGGGGGATTGATGCCTACGGGGTGATCCCTAATGAAAGGGGCTGCATCCCCCCTGCTCTCTGTCAGGGCATTTGTCAGTGGGGTAGAAAATTAGCAAGGCTGAACTACGGGATGAAATGAGGAGGACATTGGGGACCTCGTGGCACGAGGCAGGTCACCCAGTCCCAGTGGCACGTGGGGGTGACTGCTGGAGGGGGATTTGGTGAGCAGGGATGAGATGGGGGTGATGGTATCAGACATGGTATCAGACGTGGGGTGCACGCAGTGGGAGACCTCATCCCCGTGCCCCAAACTCTGTGGCACCCCCAAGAGTGGTGAGCTGTGGCATAAGGAGACTGTCTCTG